TTTAAATATTTATATAAATATGTTTATCGATACATATTAATTAGTTTAATTGATAAATCTATTCCAATAAACGTATTTTAACATGATAGCATACATTATCTTTTTATTAAATTAACCAATAATATATTACTTGTAAATGTTATGAGACATTCAGTTAACGACAATTATTAATGACTTAACTTAACCATTAATTACCAATAATAAAGTAAAGTTACTAATACTGAATAATAATGATGATAATTTATTTCTGTTGAAAATATATAAATAGAAAATAAAATGATGTATATTGATTTAAATTGGACTCTAGCTTATCAAACAATTTAACATGTTGACAAATCACATAATTTCTGCCAATAAATGTCTATTTTAATTGCTGTCAGTTTAAGGAAACAAATCATTTAATACGGAATTCTATACTAATTCTACTTTATATTAATAGCGGGCTAAATACCAGTTAACAATCACTATATAACAGACCCGTTAGAAACTGTGATTTTATAGTTTTATAATCTGTATTAAAAAATACAAGTTTTTAGTGACTATTTTGACGATAGATTTTGCGACAAAATGACAGATAATTATGGGTATAATAATAACGAGTTGGCGATCGCGTGGACTAACTTGGGTTTTGTCCAAAAGAGTTTGTTTGGCAAACGAGTGAAGACTATTCTAGACTCACTTAACGGTCAAATTAATTTTCATACATTGACGGCACTAATGGGTCCGTCGGGTGCGGGAAAGACCACACTTTTGAAGTGCGTTAATATGCGCTCCAACTCTAACCTCACGGCTGACACACAAATGTTTGTCAACAAATACACGGATTTGAGGACTTGTTTTATAATGCAATCATCCGATGAACACATTCTTAAAGGGCTGACTGTTAGGTGAGAGACTATTTATTTATAAAATTTAAATAAGCGTAATTTTATATTTATATTATATCACAACTTTTAATTAGTAAAGTTGTAAAAATTTATTTAAAAAACCAAAATTTGTATAATTTTCCAGAGAATCGCTATTATTTGCTTCAAAAATCAAGAATAGGGTAACTGTTGGTCACATATATCGCGACAATTTTGCCCAAACGGGAGATTCGCTTTTATGTTTTGATGCGAGCGATGAAACAGATTTTAATCGTAAGTTTAGTTTGTGTGACGACTTCGAGCCGCTGGACATTAACGGCAACTTTGATCACAACCTGAATGTGCGGCGAATACTATCGGAACNGATTCGCTTTTATGTTTTGATGCGAGCGATGAAACAGATTTTAATCGTAAGTTTAGTTTGTGTGACGACTTCGAGCCGCTGGACATTAACGGCAACTTTGATCACAACCTGAATGTGCGGCGAATACTATCGGAACTGCTTCTGGAGGACTGCGCCGACACTTGTGTCCAGACATGCAGTGGTGGCGAACAGAAGCGCCTGACAGTAGGCCTGGAATTAGTCCAACAAAATAAGCCAAACCTCATGTGTATAGACGAGCCGACCAGTGGTCTCGATAGCAATGCAGCGGAATTAGTATATAATAAACATCTTTTGCACAAATGTTGTAATTTTATGTAATGTTGTGATAATTTTCAGGTAATCCAGTGTTTGAGAGAGTTATCAGAGAGACATCGGATGGCAATCGTGACATCAATACATCAGCCAAACTCTCTGCTCCTCTCAATGTTTGATCAGTTATATGTGCTCTCAAAGGGCGGTCACTGTGTGTTCGCCGGACGACCCAA